CTCTGTTTTTCATGGTCCCTCTGGGTCCGGTCTTTCTCTGAATCTATATCTTTATCTCTCTCTCTGTCTCTCATTTTCTCTGTCTTTCTCTCTCTCTCTCTCTCTCTCTCTCCCTTTCTCTCTCTCTCTATCTCTCTCTCACACACACAGACACACACAGACACACACACAAACACACACACTTTTTCTCTCTATCACTCTCCCTCTCTTGTACTCTGACTTTTGAAAGAGTGTTGTTTCAGAAAGCAGAAGAGGAAACGAAATGTAATATTAGGAATTCAAAAGGACAAATGCTCTTCAAAATATTCGTACCTAAAACACAAAATAAAGAAATGCTACATCCTGGCCATTATTTCCCCCTTTATGGAAAGTCTCTTCACTTCTACTAAGAAAAGACCCATCTCAGGCCTAGCTTCCAATCTACTCCCACCACTGATTGCAGTGAGAGGGGGCAAAAAGAAATAGGTGGTGGTTCTAATTCTTCCTTACAATATTACTAATGTGAAAATATGTTTAATAGAAATGTATATGTATAATCTATATCAGATAGTGCACCATCTTGGAGAGGAAGGTGGGGAGGGAGGAGAAAAATTTAAAACTCAAAAGCTTATGGAAGTTATTGTTGATAAATTAAAATATATTAGTTTTTTAAAAAAAGAATATTTAAAAAGAAAGAAGAAATAGGAGGATTGGCAAGAGATTCTTAGCCTTTCCCTGCTCCTAGATTGAGGGAGTCAATTTGTACTGATTTCTGTTCACTGACTCTCTTTTTGTTTTTCTTAATATTAGGCTAGTAGTGAGATAAGTCCAAATTGCCATCCTTTTTTTCAGACTCAGCTTTGGGAAAAACAATTTGAATTCATTTCCATTATTTGTTTTTTCTGTTCTTTTTCTTAGTAACTGAAAGATCTGTCAGGAAAGGAAAAGGAGCTTATGATTGCACTTCAACTAATTTTAAAGGCCTGGTTTAGTTAGAACAGTGTTCTGAGGAGGTGCTAGATGCCAAATTCATCAGAAATGTTAGCAAAATTTTACTATTTTTTATTAATAAGATTTTTCTAGTTCAGTCATTATGTTTCAACTATGTCTTCCAGGTACCTCTTTTTCAATTAATTCTATTGCCAAAGTTATCCCCATTATTTGCCTAGGATTGAAAAGATGATAAACTGTCTAATATCTTATATTATGGTCATGATAGGAGTTGTGAGATCAGATTGATCACAATAATATTTATTTTCCCATCCTTTTTGTCTGTATTTCCTTCATTTCTCATACCTTCTGTAGTTAATATATATGACAGCTTGGAAATGAATGGGATGAGTTCTGGATTTTATGACTGAATTGGTAACTTCTGGTCACATGGAGTTTTCTATTCCTGATATAATTCCATTGGGGCCCTTGAACATAGATTGTCTTTCTCTACAGCTGAAAACTCTTCAGATTCATAAGACTCCTGCCCTAAATACCACTCTTTCCTTATTTTTTTATTCTACCCACAGAAGCCCCTAGCCAACAACCTGGTGCACCTGAATGTTAGTTACAGTTTATCCCTAACAGTCTGTCTCTCCTTTTTTTTTTTATAGCCCCTGGTTCTTGTTTCACATTAGAGACCACTTGAGCATTTAGGATCTTCAAGTTGACTGCCCATAAACAGAGGGTACTGATGAACCAAGGGTGTGGTCATGTTAAAATGCATTATTATCCCTCATTTTCCCACCAGAGAATTTCCCAGATCAAAAAACAAAATCACTTTTTATCTTCAATTAAATGCTCTCTGTCTTTTTTCTATCTCTTTCTGTCTATGTCTCCCTCTGTCTCCTCTCCCTCCCTCTCCCACCTTTCTCCCCTTCTCTAGCATACTTTGACATTTGAAAGATTTTTTTTATAAAGTAAAAGAAGGAAAGAAAGAGATGTAATAAAATTCTCCTTAAGAACAAGTACCTATTTAAAAGATCTGTATTTAAAACACAAAATAAATAAATGCCACATTCTGGCCACATTTTTTCAACTTTATACATAGCCCTTTCACTGTTGTGAAAGAACCCATCTGAGACCCAGCCTCAAAAATACTCACACCACTGACTGCAGAGAGAGAGGACAAGAAGAAATAGGGGAGGATTGGCAAGACATTCCTAGCCTTTCTCTGGCCCTGAATTGAGGAAGTTCATTTGAATTGATTTCTATTAAATTGTCTTTCTTGTTGTTTTCCTTAGTCAAATAAGCCCAAATTAGAGGCCCTGGATTGAAAGAAACAATTTAAATTGGTGTCCATTAATTGACTTTTGTGATGTTCTCCTTAGCAGGTGAAAGATTTGTCAGGAAAGGAAAAGGAACTTATGCTTGCATTTCTGTGATCCTTGAACGTTTCATTTAGATAGACCAATTGGTCTGAGGAAGTGTTAGATGCCAAAGAAACTCATCAGAAACGTCAGCAAAATTTTACTAGTTTTTATTGAATAACGTTTTTCTAGTTCAGTCATAAGACTTCAATTATGT